GAATCTGAAACAGGCTCCAGGCTCTGAGGTGTCAGCACAGAGTCCAATACGGGGCTTGAACCAACAGACCGGACCGTGAGATCATGCCCTGAGCTAAAGTCAGACATTTAACCAAATGAGCCACCCAGGCACCCCTTGGCTTTTTAAATTCTATTTTAGGTTCCACATATGAGAGATCAAATGGCATTTCTTCCTCAGACTTATTTCACTTAGACCTTCGAGGTCTATCCATGTTGTCGCAAATGGCAAGATTTTATTCTTTTTCTGGCTGAATAATATCCCACTGGATGATAGGTCCCATATTTTCTTTATCCATTCGTCCGTCAGTGGATATTTAGGTTGTTTCCAATGCTTGGCTACTGTAAATAATGCTGCAGTGAACCTGGAGGTATATGTCTTTTTGAGTTAGAATTTTTGTTTTCTTCAGATACATACCCAGAAGTGAAATTGCTGGATTATATGATAGTTCTATGTGTAATATTTTGAGGAAACTCCCTGCTGTTTGCCCTAGTGGCTACACCAATTTACATTCCCACCAGTACTGCAAGAGGGCCCCCTTTTCTCAACATTCTCACCAACACTTGTTCTTTCTTGTCTTTTTGATAATAGCCATGCCAGCAGGTGCGAGATGGTATCTCATAGTGGTTTTGATTTTCCTGATAGGTAATGACTTTGAGCATCTTGTCATGTACCTGTGGCCCATCTGTTTGTCTTCTTTGGGAAAATGTCCATTCAGATCTTTAGCTCATTTTTATCATTAGATTGTTCTTCTGCTATTGAGTTGTATGTTTTATTTACATATCTTAGGTATTAAACCCTATCACATATGTGATTTGCAAATGCTTTATTCAGTAGGCTGCTTTTTATTTTGCTGATGGTTTCTTTGCTGTGCAGAAGCTTTTTAGTTTTCTGTAGTCTCACTTGTTCATTTTTGCTTTTGTTGTTTCATTTTTGATGTCAGATTCTAAAGTTCATTACCAGGACTTATGTCAAGAAGCTTACTGCCTATGTTTTCTTTAGGAGTTTCATGGTTTCACTTCTTACATTCAAGTATTTAATCCTTTTTAAATTTTGTGTATGCTGTAACACAGTGGTCCCATTTAAATTTTTTGCATGTAGCTGTCCAATTTTCCCAACATCATTTATTCAAGAGACTGTTCGTTCTCCATTGTATGTTCTTGGCTCCTTTGTCGTAAATTAATGGGCTGTATACTTGGGTTTATTCTTTGACTGCCTATTCCTTTGATCCATGTGTCTGTTTTTATGCCAGTACCATAATGTTTTGACTACTGTAACTTTGAAGTATAGTTTTAAATCAGAGAGTATGATACTTCCAACTTTGTTCTTCTTTCTCAAGATTGCTTTGTCCATTCAGGGTCATTTGTGGCTCTGTAGAAATTTTAGGATTGTTTGTTGTATTTCTGTGAAAAATGCCATTGGAATTTGAATAGGGATTGTGTTGAATCTGTAGATAGCTTTGACTAGTATGGACGTTTTAACATTGATTATTCCAATCTGTAAACATGGAGAATCTTTCCATTTATTTGTGCCTTCTTCAACTTCTTTCTTTAATGTCTTGTAGTTTTTCTATACACAGATGTCTGACCTCCTTGGTTAAATGTATTCCTAGGTCTTGTATTCTTTTCAATGCAGTTGTATAAATGGGATTGTTTTCTTAATTTCTCTCTGATGGTTCCGTATTGGGGAAATATAACAGATTTTTCTGTATTGTTTTTGTATCCTGCAACTTTACTGAATTCATTGATGACTTCTGAAAGTTTTAGATGGAGTCTTGAGGGTTTTCTGTATACAATATGTCATCTGCACATAGTGACGGTTTGACTTTTTCCTTTCAAGTTTGGATTCCTTTTATTTCTCTGAATTGCCTGATTGCTTTGGCTAGGGCTTCCAATATTCCGTTGAATAAAAATGGCAAGTGTGGGGATCTTTGTCTTGTTCCTAATCTTAGAAGAGAAGCTCTGAGCTTTTCACTATTGAGAATGATGTTAGCTGTGGGATTATCATGTGGGCTTTATTATGTTCAGGTACATACCCTCTATACCTACTTTGTTGAGAGTTTTTATTATCAAGGGGTATTGAATTTTGTCTGATGCTTTTTCTATATCTATTGGGATGATCAAAAGGTTTTTATCCTTTGTTGGGGTACCACATGGACTGATTTGTGGATGTTGAATCATCCTTGCCTCCCTGGAGTAAATCCCACTTGATCATGGTGTATGATGCTTTTAATGTTTTGAATTCAGTTCACTATATTTTGTTGAGGATTTTTGCATCTATGTTCATCAGGCATATTGGCCTGCAATTTTCTTTTCTTGTGGCATCCTTGTCTGGCTTTGGTATCAGGGTAATTTTGGCTTTATAAAACGAGTTTGGAAGAATTCCCTCCTTTTCTGTTTTTTGAGTTGTTTTTTTTTTTTTTTTTTTTTTTTTTTTTTTTTTTTTTCAGTGATGTTTGAGTCTGAAAATCTTTGGGTTACATCTTTTCCACTTCCCTGTTCCCCCTGGCATTCTCTCTGTACCTACAGGTGTCCTTGGTGTTGTCAGCTCTCCAGGCTGGGAACAAGGGGACCCAGGCATGCATCACAGCTGCCACTGCCGTGTCTGGGATTATCGCCGACCTGGACACCACCATCATGTTTGCGACTGCAGGGACCCTGAATGCAGAGAACAACGAGACCTTTGCAGACCACAGGTATGGGCGGGGAGGTCGTCCTGGGGGCTCCTGGATCTGGAGAGGTTCAGGCTGGCCTGATGGATGTTAGAGACTGCTCAGAAGCCAGAAATGCGGTTATCCATGTTGATTTCAATAAGATGCTCAAGGGGAGAAAGTGAACCACATAATCAAAACAAGCCCTTCCTGCCAACTGTAAACATGTAGTCATGTTCCAGCTTTGTGCCTTTCACAGCCTGAACCCAGCCTGCTCTGGCAGAGGACAGCTTTTTGATCTTCTACTTGCCAAGCTGAAAAGATGTGCCTCTCATTTGCTCCCCACCCCCGTGGGAGTGGCCAGGACAGCCACATTTAGCTCTTACATAAATGGGGAGTGGGGCTCTGAGCCTCCTGTCTCTCCCAGACTGGCTCTTTAGGCCCTGCTCCTGGAGGCTGGTGCGGGGGTCTCCACTTGCTGTTAGAGAACCACCCCCCCTCCCCAGTAGCCTTGCCACATGTCTGTCACCTTTCTTCCTCTCTCTTCGGTCCCAGGGCCGGGCTAGGGAGGAGACTGCCAATGCCGTCACCCATTCCAGGACCCAGCTGACCTCTCACTGAGCTTCAGGGTTGGGGGCCAAACTGGTGGGCCTGAGTCTTTCGTGGAAGTTTACTATTAATCGACTAGGTGGACACTGGGCTGACTTTGCTCTCCTCTCCCAATTTTCCTACACAGAAAATGAGTACCCCTGATAAGGGAGGGGAAACACACCACCTCTCTTTTTCAAAGCCCTGTAACAAAAAGCCCCGTATGAAGGGTTTCTTTGCTTCCTAATTGCTGGTAGCCAAACTTTGCCCTTTGTCTGTCCCCGTCTCCTCTGCCCTCCCCCCTTCCTCAGGGAGAACATTCTGAAGACAGCCAAGGCCTTGGTGGAAGACACGAAACTGCTGGTGTCAGGGGCTGCGTCCACCCCGGACAAGCTGGCCCAGGCAGCCCAGTCGTCGGCAGCCACCATCACCCAGCTCGCTGAAGTGGTCAAGCTGGGGGCCGCCAGCCTCGGCTCTAATGACCCTGAGACGCAGGTATGGGTGGGCCTCGGGGGGCGGGTCAGTCACCCTCATGTTCCCATAAACACTGTGCCGCAGACCGCGGAAGAGGCCCAGGGCGAAATAGGAACTTCTGCTGTAACCAGTAGGTGCGCGAGTATGTCTGTTGCTTTGGGGTCTGCTAGGAGGCATTTATCCTGGCAGGACGGTGGCACAGACTGTGATGGCAGCCACGAGGGTAGAGATGACTGGTGAGGGACTGAGCACAGTGACCCCTTGGGTATATGGGAGAGGGAAAGGGCGGGATGAGTGAGTGGATGGTGGCTCCCTGGAGAGACAGCCGGCATGGACGGGGAGACAAAGGCGGGTTCGGCGTGGGACCGTGCTAGACACACGTGCAGGTGGAACTAGAGAGGGGGCATAAGCCTGCACAGTTAAGGGCATGTGGATTCAGGGGTGTTGCCATACAGACAATGACTACAGCCATAGGAGAGGAAGAGCATGGGGCGAGAGAAAAAGGGGGGTTCAAGGCAGAGCTGAGGAAGCCACCATTTAAGACCGTGGTAAGGAGAATGGGATGCCCAGAGAGATTGAGGAGCAGCAGCAGCGGATAGGAGGAAAGCCAGGGGTCCTGATGCTAAGAGCGGGCGTGTTTCATTCCACCGGAGGCACGGCTGAGTTGTCGAGAAGGTGAAGGTCTGAGAGCTGGCCACTGGCCCTCGTGCCACGGAGGGCCATTTGTGTGGAGTGGCCCGGTGAGGGAAAGGAAGGAAGCCAGCATGTATGGACACCCCTTGAGAAGTCTAGCTCTGGAGGGACGGGGAGGGACGAGCTCTGGACTGGGAAGGGCTCTGTGCTCCTGTAACCACGCTTTGATTTAGCGCCGTCTGCCCGCTCCTTCGTCCTCAGCCTGGTGGTCCAGGTGAGGGACAGCACCCACAGTTCGCTAACCTCGGAGAGCCAAGTACCCACCACCGCTCCAGCGCAAGGTGGATACTCAGCAAATGTCTCCTTAGCTGTTACTGAACCAGTAGCCAACCAGGGCCACCAGTAATGGACTCTACCCATTCCCAAGGGCAGAACCAAAAACCCCTCTGCTCCATCCCAGCACCATCAGATGGCAAACACCTCCGTGTTCACTGCTTAAACCACTCTCAGTTAGCTCGTCTATTTGGTCCATGTGGACAAAACTGGATTGGAAGCCGCCTACCATCCAGTGCCCCTGTTGACGACAGCTACTGTTGTGGTTAACACAAGGCCGTCAGCTTTGCTCGCATGTGACCATGACCCTTCCCTGCCCGACATCCTCCAATGGAGCAGAGCTCCATGAGGAAACGTTCCACGTGTGGCCATTTTACTCCTCCTGCTGGATTGCTCTCTGATAACATCTGAGCTCCGATTGGCTGCCCCTTGGAATTTGAAGCATTCACAGAAATGCCTACCTGTGGTATTGTTCTTACCCAGTGGAGGAAGGAAAAGCTTGAAAACGCTCAGTGAGGTTGGAATCCACACTCTCCGAGCCTGGCTCAGCCTTAGGAAGAGTGAGCAGGCTGGGGAGCATTTAAGTCTTTGAACACATCGAATTATTTAGTCTTCACTCCCAAATGGTCTAGTAGATGTCCTAGAGCCCCAACTGCTAATGAGATCTCTAGTGGAAAATATCCTTTCAGAAAAATGTGGCTACTCACCAGTCAGATGCCCAGTGACCAGGGATGGGACGGTGCATGCTGGGTGTTAACAGCAAACTTTGCTCGCTGTCCCTTGTTCTTCCCTGGCTGCCCCTCCCCGCTGTGATGACCAGAATCAGTGTGTGTGACGTCCACACCTTTCAGCCCTTCCTCAGGAGCTAAACCACCTTCTGCCCCGTGGTTTCAGAGGTTGCCAAAGGCTCCATGTACCCTGAGGGTAAGAAGGCAAGGGATGGAGCCTGAAAGGTGGGAGGGGCAGAGGCACAGTGTCACTGTGCTCCCCAGCCATCTGGGACACTAGAGTTTCTGATGTGTTCTCATGTATGTTACGCAGCCACCCTCACAGCCGGGCAGTGAGATACAGTGGCACTGCCAATGCCATTTGTACGTGAGGAGCCAAAGCCCTAGAGCATAATCCAAGTGTGAAGGTTAAGACCATAACCCTTGGGATCATGCTGACTAGAGTCTGAATCCCAGCCCTGCCGCTCCCAGGCCCTGAGACAGTGTGGACAGGAGCACCGTAGCTCCCACTTGAAACAGCAGGGGTGAGGATTAAGTGAGGGCGTGGGTAGCGCACATGGCTTAGCACTTGGAACACTGCCCTCAAGTAAAGGGAAGTTGTGGAGATTACAGCAGCAGGAGCTAAGAAGACTCGTGTTATGCATTCAATGTCACGTCTTTCCTAAGTATGGCTGGTGCTTCAGACCCCAGGTCCAACACACACACTGTAAAGGTGGCCTGTGTTCTCTGTTGAGTCACGAGAGGGAAGATACCACATGCTGTCCGGTGTAATTAGGGTGCACACCTATCCATGCAGTCACTCCGTGAGTATTTACTGAGTGCCTGCTACAGGCCAGGCCCCGTTCCGAGCGCAAAACACAACACACACAAGTCCAGGCTGGCCCGCCTGGAGCTCACATCCAAGTGGGGGGAGAAGACAACAATTCCACATACTGATACATGCTGTAAATAAGGACGCGCTGATGGAATTTCAGGTGGGGGGTGGGGGATGGGGAGTGGTCAGGAAAGGTCTCGAAGGGCCCGACGTGTGAGCTGAGATGTGAGTAATGAGGAGAGCAAGAGCAGAGGCCCTGAAGGAGGAACGAGGGGGATCTGTCCTGGGGAAGACAGACCCGTATGCCTGTAGCATGTTGAGTGACTCACAGAATCCTACGAACCAAAGCTGGAGACGCAGGCAGGATGCCACGGACGCCTTGCAGGGCAGGGTACGAGGCTTGCGTTTTGTTCTCCACGTTTGGGGTTACCAGTTCAGGGTGCGGGTGAGTAGCGTTGCCTCTCAGGCGTCTGCTTAGCTGGTCGCCTCCTTTCCTAGGCAACTTGTCGTCACAACTGCTGGCTGGGAGGTGTCCGAACGTGCTGGGTGTGTGTGGGGTCTGTCTTCCGGCTCAGCATCAGCCTCCCTCGGGGAGACTCCTGCGTCAGCATCTTCAGGGGTGGCTCCTGGGGAGTCTGCCTTGCTGCAGGCTGTGGAGCTGCCGAGATAGAGACTGGCCTCCTAGATGCCCGCACCTGGCCCTCGGGCCGTGTGCTCTTGGTCTTGCCCGCAGGGGACCGCTGGGGCTGCTCACCTGGGCTGTCTGCTTTCTTTCAGGTGGTGTTGATCAATGCCATCAAAGACGTGGCCAAGGCCCTTTCAGATCTGATAGGTGCTACCAAGGGGGCCGCCAGCAAGCCTGCCGATGACCCCTCCATGTACCAGCTCAAGGGGGCCGCCAAGGTAGAGCGGGGTGCCAAGCAGGGACAGGCGTGGCGGGCGGTGCAGAATGAGAGAAGCACACCCAAGAATAATGGGAACATATGCATCTGAGCGCCTTCCTTGCTCAGCAGCGTTTTGTCCTCCTGGCATCAGAGCCAGAACTAAAAGGAGCGGGGAGTAGACCTCGGGGTGCTCCTCATTTTCTCTCGGCCTCTCCTTCCTATGCAGGTGATGGTGACCAATGTCACCTCCCTCCTCAAGACTGTAAAGGCAGTGGAGGACGAGGCCACCCGGGGCACACGGGCGCTCGAGGCCACAATCGAATACATGAAACAGGAGCTCACGGTAAGGAGCCAGCAGTCACCTCCCTCGGGCATCCACGTGCAAGAGCTGACACCCCGCCCACCCCCCAGACATCTCAGTGATTTGTAGCATAAAGAGGTTTTACCTGGGGCACCTGAGCCCGGGAGGCCCACTCACCTGCCTGCCGGCAGCTTTGCGTAATTGAGGCCCCGGGTGTAACCGACCTCATCAGCGTTTGTCTACAATCAATTTTTAATTAAGAAATCAATTAAAATGTGTCACTTAGGACTGTTCAGGTTTAGTTCCACTAAAACTGGAACTGAAACTAAAGCATTACAGAAGATTGCCGGCAAAGGGAAAACTCGGTACGGGTGTTGGCTGTCACCTTGAGCTTAAATGATGTGTATGGCGTGTAGGCCCACCCAGCACCTCCTGATTCCCAGTGCCGTTAGCATCAGCTCACACGGCCGCCCACATACGGATTTTAGAGGGTGAGGTGCCCTGTTAGAAAAACACAAATGCCTTTACCTGAGATACTGGCCTGTAAAATTCAGCATCTTTCTGTGCGTGGTCCCTCTGATCTCCAAGAAATTGACCGCGTGTTCTTTCTTGCCGTGTTCCCGCATTGTATAGTGAGGGTGTCCCGGTGTTCCTGTGATATGGATATTCTCTCCTGTTCTTTTGATCCTGTGATGGCTGTGGATTGACTCACCCTAATCCCTAGAAATAGAAATATGCTGAAAATGAGGGTTTCAAACAGATTTCTTTCTAACTGGAGGTCTGATCACAGATTCAGTTTCTCTGTGCGAGGAGCAGGGGACCTGCTTTTGCTTCCAGCTACTCTGCGTCTTTAGAGAGTCACCTGGGAAGGCCGAAGGCCCCTGCGGATCAGCAGTATAAAGCAGCAATTCTGTTGGGTTTTGTTGGTGATTGAGCCTTGCGTCTCTTGTCCTGTTTTTAATTAAGCCGGTCTTGCTTGGTGTTAAACCCGGTTCTTGCACAAAGAAAAAACTGAAAATTGCAGGTGGTGTCGTTAAGCACTGCCTCCTGATGCTCACCTGCCTCTGTGGGCTGTATGTTTCCTATCAAAAGTCCGGGTCTGTATTCTGATAGGTGTGGGTGGGGCTAATGGTGGCAATGGAAGAGATTTGAAACTGGGAGCTTTCCTGGGACATTACCCACGGTCAACCGAAGTCTGCCAACATGGTTTGGAATTGACAGAGGTTGTGTGTCTCCGCAGACGTGGGAAGTTTCCAAAGGAGCATGTGCCAAAGGGCCACATTAATGCAAAGGGTTCCATACATGTGGTATTCGTTCCCCTTGAGCGTTCAGGCATGGTCCTGGGTAGCTTAATTGTGCCTGCCCATTTTTAGGGGGCTGGTGATGTTTGGTGCTGGCTAACAGGCTGCAAGGATGCTGGCTGGGTTCTCCCCTTTGCCTCAGGGAAAACTACCTGGCTGAAAGGTGGTTGCCCGGGGCTGAGGACAGAGCAACCCCAACTGGTTTAGGAGTACTCATGTGCGGGGACAGATGCACATGCAACATACAGCCCCTGGCACCAATCACTCATGTTAGAGAGACAAGACAGATGGGCTTGAAGCAGAAATGGCTGGCTTGACTGACAGGTGGAATTTTAAAGTGGGATATTCACTCAGCACGGTTAATTATTTCAGCTTCTCTAAAGAGTGGTGTGTGTGTGTGTGTGTGTGTGTGCGCGCGCGCGCGCGTGCGTGTGTGGTTTTAAATAATTCACAGTGTCACTGTGGCGCCCTCGACACGAACGCCTCCACACAATTATGCAGTTATATTTGTAAGACAAGCTAAGAATAGAAGAAACTGAATGCTTCATTTCCCCCAACCCCACACCCTCTTAAAGAAAGGGGAGTTCACAGGGATGCGTCCAGGTCCGTCCTGCCCCGGAACCAGCATCAGAACTGCAGAATTTCTGGGAGCTGCCGAAGCCCCAGCAGGGAGGGGGGCAAGAACTGGGAAGCCACACCACCACCTTCCCCCGGAGAGTTTACAAATACCGAGGGTCTCTTTCCGCAGGCGAACAGGTTAATGCTGTAGACCTGTCTCCCTCACCATATGGTTCCCTTGAATGCCGAGTACAGGTGTGCAAGACTTATCCGTGCTAACATCTTGAAAGCAAGAATTGTATTACTCAAATTTCTAATTTCCTGCCATTTGACGGTTTCTTCCTGTTGCTGGCTCAGTTTTCAGACCGTGAGCAGCATCCTGGTCAGAGAAGAACCAATTATTTTTGTCTTTGTCTTTTTTCTTTCATTTTTTTTTTCCACCTGTTGTATTTCCAACTTCCAGGTGTTCCAGTCAAAAGAGGTGCCTGAAAAGACATCATCACCTGAAGAATCGATAAGGATGACGAAAGGCATCACCATGGCAACAGCCAAAGCCGTGGCCGCTGGGAACTCATGCAGACAGGAGGATGTGATTGCCACCGCCAACCTGAGCCGGAAAGCCGTGTCAGATATGCTGACGGCTTGTAAGGTAAAGGCCTTGGCGTTGTTTTGGGTGGCCGGATGATGCCCTGTCACGACTATTTGGTTTAGTCTGGAGCCAGGGAGGGGCCAGCCATGTGCAGAAGGGAGCAGCTCAGTACCTCAAACTCGGTGATGAAATGCGTGCTGAAGAGCCCACAAGAAATGACTCTCCAGGGTAGTTTTGTGCTTGAGAGGGGATGGAGTCGGCCTGCTAACTCACCCTCCCACTTTTCCTCTCCGTTCTTGCCAAGTAGGCAGGATGCCTGCTCTGACAGAGGTGAAGAGGCTTCTGGCCCTCTGAACAAAAAACACATCCCACTTGTACCTGCCCCCCTTTCCAGCCTCTGCAGGTCAGCATTCTGGGCCAGGAGAGGTTCTGCCATGACTCGGGGAGGAAGTGAGTCAGAGGAACAAGACAGAATGTTAGGGAACAGCCTTTTTCGCTATCTGTGCCAGACATCTTGCAGAAACTCTCATGATCCTTGGCTAGACAAGCAGGGTAGCTGCCCTGAGCCCATCCTTGGTGAGGGTGCTGGTGGGACCTGACCATTACAAGCTTTACTTTATTTTTTTTTTAATCTATTAAGAAAGTGAGTCATAAGAGCCCTCCCACCACCCCCCTTGAGCACCCCACACCAGACCTTCACCCTTCTGGGGACAGCTGGGTCCCAGAGACTCTGGCTTCTGCTCAGATTGATTGATAACCTCCCACCATGGTGAGCGGGTTGGGGATGAGTCACAGAAGTTGAAAAAGCAGCTGTTGCAGCTTGGGGTCTGAGGAGACAGGGCCGTTCTTTGTGGGGAAGTCAGTTGTGGGAAAGCTGGCGCCAGGTCCAATGAGCAGGTAGGATAGGTGAGAGGTGTCTGGGGAGAGGGACGATGAGGCAGCCAGCCTGAAGGAATGGGTGTGTGAGGACCAGGCACGGGAGACGGTGTGGGGGGGTTGGGGGAGGAGAAGACAGTAGAAGGTGGTAGGGCCACTTTCATGGGGGACCATGTGTCCTGTGCCAGGGATTTAGACTCTCCTAAAGCCGTAAGTGTTTGCAGTTATGATGTACTTAATGGAATCTGCCCTGTCAGAAGTGACGACTTTCCAGAGGGGTTACGGCCTCAATCAGAAAATAGTACTTTTCTAGCAAGGTAAGGTCTGAATGCCACCATGACATGCAGGGAAGGCTGGCATGCATATTCTGTCATTGGATCCTGGAGGGGAAGGGCACCAGGATTACCCCAAGTTGATGGATGATTAAACAGGCTTGGAGAGTTTAAGGGGAATGACTGTAGTCACACAGCTATTTCCTCTCTTCAGGACGCTGAGGTTGATGAGTGACAAGTGCTTTGTCTCCGTGTTATAGACCTGAAATGAAAAGGGGAAATAGATTAAGGGGGAAAGAGAAGGCGGCTCGATTTTCAAGTCCCTTTCTGACACACATACCCCTGTTCTCAGGGGAGGAGGATAAGGACAGGTGCCATTTGCACAGCCTCTGCTCCTCTCTGTCTTCCTGCCCCCGGATCAGGCCACCCTGACTTTGCAGGACAAAATAACAGCCGGAGCTTCATACCTCAAAGCCAGACTTGGATGACAAGTGTCAGTGCTAAGCTCTGAGACTTCTGTTAGGAGAGCTCTTATTTAGCAGACTTACTGCAGCAAGGAAATGAGGGAGCTTGCCAGAAAGGACGTGCAATAAGGAGTATATAGAAAACCAGGGAGGCCAAGCAGTGGATCAAGAAGAAGCCCTTATATCCAGCCAGAAGGCCAACTTGGCATGTTGGAGCACTGCCTTTGGGGCCGAGCAGGGTGGCTGGGGCAAAAAGGGAAGCGCAGGAAGTTACATCCCGGCTCATTTTACCAGAAAAGGAGGATTACACTAAATGCTCAGGTGGCGACAAGGGCTGCCCCACACCCTGAGTTAATTCTTGTGTCTGTTTCTCGTCTTACTTACATGTGCGTATGTCTGCACTATATACGATACAATCAACTATTACAGCTAATGTCGTATGGCTCTGGTCTCTGGTGCTCTGAGTCCTTATAACTGACTCTTTAATGACCACAAATACTCTGTCAATGAATATAATTTTACCCTGTTACCAGAAATTTCAGTTGTCTGCATTTTTAAATAATGCATAAACCGTACCGCCAGGAACATCTTTGGGCATACCTGTTTCTTCCATGCTTTGAATAATTTCCTTAGGCACGTCTCCCAGGAGTGGAATTAGTCAGATGGTCTGGCATTTTAATTCGTGCCAGATTGCTCTCCCAAAGAGTTCTGCCTGGACAAGAGCACCCACCCTCAGTCCCCATACAACTCTAAACTGGGGTCTGACACACTCCATACCAGAGGTAGCATCATAGCCTGTGTCCTCCCCGAGACATGGGCTCCATTCTCACACTTGGAGACACAGGGCAGTGGTTAAAGGCACGGCCCGTTAGTCCTCAGGTGGGCAAAACTGAGCTCAGTAATGATAGATCCTGGCCACTCAGATTATCCCCACTCTTTCTGGGGTATATTGGGGGAGCAGGTGAGGGGAGCACCCACAGGTGTTCCCACCAGCATCCCCCAATCCTAGACGGAAAGGCTTGAGCGGAACAAACGTGAAGGCTAGTCACTATCCCCCACCACTTTGACTTTTTATCCTAATGTGTGATTCATACGTGTCCTGGTTTGCGATGTATTTGCAGTTTTGAATGTGTTCTTGTAAGCCCCAAGTTCTTTCCAGGGTAAGGCTTTGGAAGGAAGAAAGGCTGCGCAGGGTTGCCAGAGTTAGCAAATAAAAAAATGGCGTTTCTCAGATTAACATTAAAAATTGTTTTATTGTTTCTTCAAAAATACAGTTAACTGTGATTAACCTGGTAACCCTGTGAGTGGGCGTGTCATCTGTTATATCAGGACTGAATGAAGCCAACAGGTCACAAGTGCAAGAAAAAAAGCACAGGGTGCTGTATTAACCATACGTCCTTGTTTGCTTATCTCACCACGCATAATGTGAGATGAGTTATTTACGGCCCCTCTGAGGGTAGTGGGGAGCTTACCATCTGAAGTTTCCCAAGAGCCAGAGGAGACATTGTGAGTGCAGCATGGTCAGGCCACGGAGTGAGGGCCTGAGTGTGATCAGCCCAACAGAGAGGGGCTTCAGGAACCGCCCCCCCCCCCATGCTGCTGGAGAAAGGCAAGCACACCCTGGGACAGGCAGCACATGTCCTGCTGTAAGCCCTAATCATGACCCTTTCCTGGGCTTCTTAGTGCATGTGGAATTTCTTACAATGCAATAGAAGGGGACAGGGAAAAAGGATGGGAGGAGGGACAGGACTCAGGTGCTTCTGTCTGGCTCCAGGGCACTAAAAAAGACAAGACACAAAATGTGGTGAGAGAACCTGCCGTGGACACAGGTGTGAGGTTAACAGGAGAACACGGAGGCAGGCCACCTTCTCTATCCAGGGAGTCACGGAAGGCTTCTCAGGGAGGTCGCTGAGGGCAAGGCAGAGGGAATTCCAGAATCAAGGTCTCCTCTCTCTGGGGTGCAGGGCTGGTCAGCACTGCTAGGCAGGTGCCTTCCCCTCCCCCCTTACTCCTTGGTCCACTCACCAGCTGGCTCTTCCTGTTTAAGATGTCCCCATTCCTTTCTCTCCCCAGCAAGCATCCTTTCACCCTGATGTCAGCGAGGAGGTACGCACGAGAGCATTGCGATACGGGACGGAGTGCACCCTTGGCTACCTGGACCTTCTCGAGCACGTCTTGGTGGTGAGGAGGGGCGTGGGCCGGGCCAGGACTGGGGAAGAGCTTGTTCAGATGCAGACCATCCTTTCCTCACGGGCTCCACTTGGGAGACTGGGGGTGGATGGAGCTAGAAAGTGCCCAGCATCACACTGCTTCAGCACATCGAGATGAAAGAAGGCTCTAGAAGAAGCTGCAGTTAGCATCCAGGAGAGCCAGGCTCTCTCTTGGCACCAAAGTGGCAAGAATAGCATGCCAGAGGGTGGGACAGGCAAAGCTACCACTGAAACAACGTTGGGAGGTCCTGTTAGGAAGACCCCAGTCCATCCTGAGAGGACAGGGAAAGCTCCAGAAAGAGCCACCCTGGCCTCCATGACGAGTTAAGGAGAAATTTCACCCGTGCTGCAGGTGACCTACCAGCCTCTTGTCCTTGAATGAGTACTCAGACCACACTGAGAATGATGCCTCCCTTCCTCTGATGACCTTCCTGTCAGCCTAGAGTGCCCACCTGGAGCTGAGACAGAAGGCTGGTAGGGAAAATGCCAGAAGGGGAGGTGGGGACAGTGGTCATGGCTTATAGGGACTGTCCACATGGGAGCCTCGGGCTTATACCGACTTAGGTTCCCCACAGATCCTAAGGGCCAAACTCTGAGCAACCGAGAAATGTATTTGCTATGTGTCTCTCTCTGTCAAAACCCGCCATGGGGAGGTCTGCCGCAGGCCCTGAGAGAATTTGTCCAGGAGTCAGACACAGCCTCCAAACAGAACTGACGATGCCCCACATTCCCTTACTGCTCCTTCCCAAACCTTAAAAACAAAACAAACAAAACAAAACAAAAAAAGATCACCACCAGGCCACAGACAACTGTAAACCTTTCATTTGTGGAGCCCTGAGATTTTTCATTTTGTCCTTGCGCTAATATATGAGGCTAACAAGGCAAAGGAAGGATCCCGAGAAGTTCGGCCCCTTGCTTGAGGTCGCCTAGCTACTAGGACAGTCCTGGAACCGAATCCCAATTCTTACTTCCAGGCCCGTGTTCATTCCAGCACTTCACTGCCACCTTGAAATTAAATTATCTCCCGATGTTAAACATGTTAGGTCTCTTAGGGAGGGAGCATTACTTTGATTCTTCACCCAGGTTAAGTGTGGTCTGTGTGAAAGTGTATCTTCTGTGAGTGGAGGCACTCTGCGGTTACTAACATTGTGTTCCAGAAGCCCTGAACTCCGGTGACTAGAAAACAGTGTATCATCTCATGTGGGCCAAGAAAACGCGTTAGCCAGTCCTTGTTCACAAGGCAGGAGCCTCTGCCGCCACACTAACTTTCTGCGTTAGAACAGAGTTAAAGTGTTCAGTCCGGAGCACGCGTATTAGCAGGAAATTCAGGGTATTCAGAATGAAGCCAGCAAGGCTTCCAAAAGGCATTTTTTTCTTGGTGGAATCATATAGTCTTAGTCACGTAGAACCTTGTTCTATCAGAAAATTAGGAGTTGCAGCAGAAGCAGTGTTAGGCTTAGGTTTAGAATCTTTGCATTCGATTCCCAGCTGTGTCACATAAATAGCCGCATGACTACTGCTTTGTCCAGACTTGAGTTTCCTCGGATGGTAAACAGTGTCAGGAATCCGTGAGAATGTCAGGAAGATCGGGCTTCGGGGCTCAGCTCACGTGTGCTTTCCACCCACAGGGTGCCCATTTCCCATATTGCTTTCTGTCTCAGACTTTTTTTTTTCCTCTTAATCATTTATTGGAAGGGAAGAAAATACTGGGATTTTCGTATTCATTTAAATGAGGGATCCTCATTTTGCCCCTTTTCCCCCGCTCCATTTCTTTTTTTCTCTTTTTTTTTTTTTTTTT